CTAAATGCCTTGAGAAAGGAGCTTTCTTCCTGTCCCATGTCTTCTCCATCTCTTTGTGTGATGATGGCAATGACACCAGCAGAACTTGGTGAGAGCGGCAGAACAGAAATCAGGTCTCCACTTTTCTGACACAGAGCTGACTGGACACGAGTCAGTGGGAATGGACCTCAGGGTCAGCCCAGACACAGAGAGATTCCAGACCTGATCTTCCTGGGGCTGGGACAGATAAGTTTTCATTTTTCAACTTTTCTGAAAGTCTCCTGAGGAACAGTTCTTCAGTTGACACTGCTGGCCAAGGGTTATCTGGCCCAGAACAACTGGACAGAGCCCCCCAGCTCTTGGCCTGGGCAGCTGCAGCACTCCCAAGTAGCAAGGCAGGTGGGGAGGTACATGAGTTCCAGTACAGGGTGATCTCAGCAGAGGGATGAGGACTGATCCCAGAGTCCCGGTTATCCTTCTGTGGAATCTGTAACACCTCAGTTTCTACTTGTTTTAGAGATGGTTTAAAATCTTCCGTATCAAACTCTGAGTCTTCCAACAGGTGAACAGAGGAACCCTGGCTATAGGTGTTTACTAGCAGAGCAGAGACTGTGTCTTCTTCATTTGTCCTTATCCCAGAGCTCAGTCCTGGGGAGGACATGTTAGGCCCCATGGATGTTTTAATGAACACACCCCTGGGATGAGCTCTAGGTCACCCCTGGGCTGGGATCTAGTGCAGGTGTGGAAAGGTTTTCTTCTCAGCCTGTCCAGCCTGTTCAGCCCCACACTCATCCTGGAGCCCACCCAGTTTCTGAGTCAGGGTCCCTGGAGATGAGGGTGAGCTCCTGAGGACAGCGAGATGCCCCCACCCCTCTGCTCCTGCCTCTCTGGTCTAGTCTAGACAGGGTGTGCAGGGCCACACTCTTCCACTGGGTGCAAGTGCGTCCCCTGCTGGGATCCCTCTGGACCTGGATGTTGTCCTCACTGTCATATCCCCAGCCCCACACAATGACTGGCCCTTGTGCAGATGCCCAGGAAGTAACCATAAATGTATGGTAGGATCAAAGCAGCAAATGATTCTGCAAAAAAAACACAAAGAAATGTTTCTTTCCTGATTTCTTTCCTTCTCAATTAATTTGATATAAAAATCTGAGAAGGCACATTATGTACAACATGTCCAATTCTCTTTGTGGGGGTGAATTCAGTGGAAGTCTTCCCATCGGATATGTGATATATTAGAATGTTTTTAAATGACAGCATCCATTATCAACTGTAACGCAGAGGCGTTTTCCTCAACACCAGTTTTCCTCGTTGGTTTAGGCATTGTGTAATTGCCAATGTAATCAACTTCATAGATAAATCCTGTGGGAAAAGGGCTCGTGTTTTTCCACAGGTGTCCTCTGTATTAGCATTTTTTTTTCTTAGGCTTTGACTCAACCACTGTTTCACCACTAGTTTCCTGAGGTCCTCAAGAGACTAACAGATCCATGTGAGGGGTGCAGCAGAATTAATCTGATCCTCATAGTGTCTTCTTTTGTCTAATGACGGAGTTCATCACTCCCTGGTTACGTAAGTGACTTGCTGAGAAACAAACTTGCTGGTTTTAATCTTTAGAAACCTGATTCTGGGTTCCTGTTAAAAAATACTGGGGGTCTAGTAAGAGCAAATAATTTTGTAAGTGTATAACTATGACCAGAGGGGCTGTATGAATGCATGCGAACCCAGAGAACCAGCCAGGGGATGTAGTATGAGCCAATGTGTCTTCAGCTGGAATAGAAGTGAGTGCTCTTCTCTCTGACTTACTCTGTTGTTGGTGGTTCTAAAGAGTGGATTCTGGAAAATCTCAACAGTGAAGAAGATGCCATTACAGGTAGGTAACAAGATTACAGGTGGGATCTAATAAAACAGGGTTCCCAGGAGCCTTCAGGTTATGCCTGCTGCTTGGGAGGCTGAGGGGGCATGTAGAAAGAGAAGAAAAAGAAAACATGGATGAAGGTTGTTCTTTTCAGAGTTTAACGTCATAATGGTGAGAAGTACTATGTTTATGGGGTTTTGAGTACTCTGTGTTTGTGATCACCTCTTCCTGCTTTATTTTTTGAAGATGGTCTTTCTGAGAACACCTGCTCTTTTCTGCCTCTGCCACTGTAAAATGTTAAAGCCTTTGGTTTGGGACACAGTTTTGTCATGGCAGTTACTTAATCCTGGAGACAACAAGTCTTCCACATTGTGCCCAGGTGCTTGGGAGAAACTGACCCTCACCTTCTGGACTGTTAGGTTTCATGGCAGCACACTCATTTGTCTGTCCTTGCTGTTTACTCCTGATATCAAGGGCTCTCTCTGGGCATGAAGGACAGGATGAAAATTCGCTCTGGGTTCATTGCAAAAACTCCGTGTTCAAGATTGGAAATGAAGATGCACAATCTTGAGCACGCTCCTCAATTTCTTTATTTAAATGAGAATATGCAGTTTTACAGTCATTTGTTGAAGAGGCTTTCCTTTTCCCATTGTGTATTCTCGGCCCCTTTGTTGAAGATCAGTTGACTGTATGTGCATGAATTTCTGTATCTTTTTCTCTCATAGATTTCAATCTCATGAATGTGTGTCTTCCAATGCTATTCTTTTTCAACATTATTATGGTTATTTGAGACATATAAGAATTCATAAAAATATTCAGGTTATCTTTTCCATTTCTTCACAGATGGCTGTTGCCAGTTTGATAGTAGTTGTTGTGAGTCTGTAGATCATTTTGTAGTATTGTGTATTAGTCAGGTTTAGTCTTCCTATCTGTGCATACAGAATGCCTTTCCACTTATTTGTACCTTCTCTACTTCCTTTCAGTCACGTTTTGTTCTTATCAGGCTACAGGTATTTCACCTCATTGGTTAGATTTATTTCTAAGTATCTAATTATTTCAGAGGTTATTATCCGTGGAATTACATTTGTAATCTCCCTATTGGATTGTTTATATTGAATGCATATTAACACAACTGCCATTTGAGTGTTAACACTTGTACCCTGCAATTTTGATGAATTTGTTAGCACTAATAGCATTCTTATAGACGATCTCAGATTTTCTATTTATTTATTTATTTATTTAGAGATGGAGTCTCACGCTGTAGCCCAAGCTGGAGTGCTGTGGCATGATCCCGGCTCCCTGCAACCTCCACCTCCTGGGTCCCGGTTCAAGCAATTCTCCTACCTCAGCCTCCCAAGTAGCTATTACAGGCATGAGCCACTGTGCCCAGCTAATTTTTGTATTTTGTAGTAGAGATGGGGTTTCGCCATATTAGCCAGTCTGGTCTTGAACTCCTGACCTTGTGAGCCTCCTGCCTCAGCCTCCCAAAGTGCTGGGATTACAGGTGTGAGCCACTACGCCTGGCCTCAGATTTTCTATATGCAGAAAGTTAAAGAAGTTCTCAGCTTCTTACCTCTCTTCTCAAGTATATTGTTACTGTGACGGTATATTCATATTCACCTACTGAATGGTATCCTTCCAAATGGTGTAGTACTTCACTATTAGGTGTTGACTGGAAGAATATAGGATTGTCTACTGTGCTTCTGTTTTTCGACCATCATTGATCTTTTAAACTCTAGACTTCAGAATCTGAAGTGAATCTGGAATGTGGAAATGGGAAGGGAAGCACACAAGAAAGAAACCTAATGTTGCTATTCCTGTGGCTTCCCTCTTTACATCAGCCTAAATGTATATTTAGTTCGCAGTATTTGAGAGCATATTGTTTCTACTCATATCACAAGTTTTCCCAAATATATAATGATAATACCTGTGTCTAGGCCAGTTTACCTACCAAAACATATTTTTAAAACATATTTTGTGGATTATTTAAAATTCCCTATATACAGAAATATCAATAATATGCTTTCGCCCAACCTATTACCCTCCTCAGAAGTAAGGAATTCACGAATCAGGTCTCCTGTGACACTATCCAGAGCACTTTTCCAAAGCTAAGCTACGGTCATCTCCAACAGGCTCAGTTTGAGCCAGTTTACATTTAAGAGAAATAAATTATACAGGATATTATGTCATTGTCAGGCCTCCATGTGCAAGCCCGTTTCCAGAAAGTCTAAAGCCCTGCCTGCCTTGGCTGATCACCACTTGCCCTGTGTTCGCCATTATCCCTGATCGCAAGGTGGAGCTTCCCCCCTCAACATAAGCTTCCCCCGCCCCGCCCTGCCATCTTAACTGTTATTATGATAATGTGAATATTCCTCATCCCACCCTACCATCTTAACTACTCTTATCCCACCCGCCATTGTAACTGAAATTATGGTAATGTGTACTCCTTATCCCTACCCCCACCACTGTAACTGATCTTAATCTGTAACTTTCCACTGCCCACCCCAAACTTATAAAACCAACTCCTATCCCACTGCGCTTTGCTAACGCCCTTTGCGGCCTTAGCCCACCTGCACCCAGGTGAATAAACAGCCATATTGCTCACACAAACCCTGTTTGGGGGGTCTTTTCATTCAAGGCGTGTGTTTTTAACAGGTATATGCTTAGAACCTTCCATTATGGTAGATAATTCTCCTCCCCAAGTAAACTGGTGTTTATTACATTTGACCAGGTATCTGTTGATCTTTCATCAGGTCACTGGCTCATTTTGTAGACTACATGCACTTAAATTGTTTTTTATTTTTCAGAAGTAGCTACTATGTGGAATCAGGTATCTGTTGATCTTTCATCAGGTCACTGGCTCATTTTGTAGACTACATGCACTTAAATTTTTATTTTTCAGAAGTAGCTACTATGTGGATGTCACTAAAAGCATTTTTGACACAAGGTTAGAGTTAAGTTGAAATGATTATTTTTGGACAAAGAAGTTGTGCATTATGGCATTACCCCTTACTTGGGAGCTTATCTCTTGGGTTTGCATGCAGCTCTGGAATATGTTAAGCTGTGAGATATCAAGCAAGTCAGTTATTTTTTAATTTACCATCCTGAAGATATACAATACACAGTTTATTTTAATGAACCCATTAAATCCTCACTACAGACCTCACCTACAGACCAGTGGTTGTTTACCATCCACATACTGGTTGGATGGAGAAACCAAAGTGCCAATGAATGTGCCCATGCTTCTAAGCCCCTAAGGGAAGGAGGCAAGATGTGAACCTAGCTAGGCATATAGCCCTAAAGCTGAATTGATAATGAATTGTTGAACTGCAGTTATTACCCTAAGAAGGATGGCTCTCAATTCTACCATCACAGGTAGCCATAAGGTAGTTCCCTCACACATGGACACCCAAGATTTACATGAGTCTATGGAGATCTCAAACACTGTCTATGATCATAAGGTGGCTGCAGCAGTCACGTAGCTTAGGGCAGGCAACAGTGACTGTAACTGCAGGATATGGCACTGCCGTTGGTGTAAAAAATACAGAGATGCCCCAGATACCTCTGACAGCAGGGTCAAATACAAGTTCTGAATATTAGGAAGCAATACTTAGAAATATTGATAAACTCCTTTCAGTGCTGGGAACATTCCTCAGCAGTTGGCCCTAAACTAATAAGATGAAAGCGATATTTTTTGAGATAGTTGAAAACTCTATCACCACAAGACCTAGAAATGATCAAATCCTGCAAGGTACATTCATTAGACACAATGACAATTAAGACAGCAAGAGTATTTGGTTACTAGTTCACCACACTCATTGCAGCTATTTGCACTGCAGAGTTAAAACACATCAGCATCCAGGCCATGTCTCCATTCCTGAAATAAACTATGATCAATGGACTGGCAAGTACAAAGACAGATATCCTCCATAGGCAATTACTACACATACATGACAAACGAAACGTAGACTGAAGAAGGAACTATCATGTGATTAGCATCAGTTATTTTATAGAATATAATTTCAATATTTCTAATTCTTCCATCATCAACTATAACCAAGGATTAGTACATAACTACAATAAACTGTTTTGCCTAGAATTGAATCCATCTGTCTCTTCAACTTAGATTTTATTCAAGGATTCAAAATCCCAAAAAACAGAACTGCAGTGACAGCCATTTATGTGACAGCCATTTCCCTTTATGTGAATCCATAAATGGAAAAATGTTCTTGGTACATAAATCATATAAACAAATATTGTTGTTATTTCCTATTGACACAATAAATACCTACTGTCATCTTCTAAAAAATAAAATGCACCATGATTACACATTGCAAACCAAAAAGTTATCTAAAACTGGTCTCAATCAATTTAGAAGTTTAATTTGCCAAGATTAAGGACATGCTGGTGATGCAGCTCCAGGAGGTCCTGAGTACATATGCCCAAAGTGATCAGGCTACAGTTTGGTTTTTACACGTTTTAGGGAGATATAAGACATCAATTAATACATGCAAAATGTACATTTCTTCAGTTTAGAAAGACAGGACAACAGAAAGTGGGAGAAGGTAGGGGCTCCAGGTCATAAGGAGGATTTCAAGATTTTCTGATTGTTGAAAGACTTATCTAAAAACCTGGAATCAACAGAAGAAAGCATCTGGGTTCAGATAAGGGGTTGGGGAGACCCAGGTTTTTATTATGCAGATGAAGGCTCCAGGTAACAGGCTTCAGAGAAAATAGATTGTCTGACTTGAAAAAAAATACCAGACTCTTAGTTAATTCTTTCCCGAATCAGGACAAAGACCCAGAAAAGGAAGGGAATTCTCTATGGAATATAGATTTTCTCCACAAGAGACAGCTTTAAGGGGCCATTTCAAAGTATGTCAAGGAAATGTACTTTGGGGCAAAAGACTTTGATTTCTTTCAGGGCCTGCTCTCCGTCATATTGGTATCTTATCGCTGCAAAGCATCTGTGTTGTCAGCCTTAAGGTCTCTGTTTTAATGTGAATGTGGGTGAGTTGTGCCTGAATACCAGAGAGAGGAGAGTATAATGAGGTGTGTCTGTCCGCCCATTCCCGTTACGGCCTGAGCTTGTGTTTCAGCTTTTCTGTAGAGTGTCCTTGGCCAAGAGGAGGTCCACTCAGTTAGTTGGGCAGCTTACTATATTTTACTTTTGGTTTTCAACACTCTATCTACTTTAATTCATTCAACCCTTGCCAGAGCCACACCTGGCATTTGCCTTAGTATTCCCACGGCTCAAGTGGAGAATATGAAGTGCCAAGATGAGCGACCCAAGCTCTGGAGTTCCTAAATGAAAAAGACAAAACATGAACCCAGGCACATGGTCCAATGCGGATGCTGTCAATTACTGACATGGACTTATGCCTCAGCCATAGGTTTTAGTCTCAGCCAGGCCTGAGTCCAGGCTGCTCAGGCAGCTGTTCTGGTCGACAGGCACTGAGGCCCTGGCAGCTCATTGGCTTCACTCCCTGAGCTGTCTAAGCACCAGCCTCACAGGCCACTTTTTCACTTAATGAATCTTAACTGCCTAGCAGCCTGGTTTGGTCCGTTGAAGATGAATCTGATTCTAAGTCCAACTGTCACAGGGGCAGTTGGCTGGGAATGTCCTGCATTCCGAGTCAGTTGGGAGTCAAGGAGGCTACTGGTCATTCAGGGAGGTCACCCGACTACAGGGAAGTCTCCCCACAAGGCAGCTACAGAGTCAAGTGTGGGCCAGACAGACACAAATTAGGACCCCCAAGCCTTCAACAGGGCTTCCTTTAGGGGAAAGTCTTGCATTTTGGGTCAGGGGTTGAAATGTCAAGCCGGGAGTTAAGTCAGGATTTGGATCCTTCTCTTGGGCCAGGCACCTTCTCCAGGGCATCAATGTCTCCCTGCGTCGGAGCTGGGGTGTAAGAGGATTTGGAAAAGGACCAGAGTCCTCACTTTGGAGTCCACGGTGTGGACTTCTGGTCTCAGGCACCTGCCCCTTGCTCTCGGTCACTGAGCTCAACCGCCTTCTTGAATTGTCTCCTCTCATTAGACATTCAGGGATTCAGACATTCAGGGATTCCTCCATTCTCAGGGAATCAACTAAATTCCCTGCCTTAGCTTGATTACTCATCAGTATTTTTACTCTGAGCAAATCACTGAATCTTTCTAAATGTCAGTGCCCTGAACCATAAAATAGAAGTCAGCTCCTGCTCTTCCCATAACACATCACAAGAGATACCAGATTTTTTTCCCCATGAGCTGTAAAGCATCATGCCCATGCCCATGTGGAAAGGTGGAGCTTTGTCCTTCCTGACCTGTCACCTTCCATGTCCCGTCTCTGGAGGTCACCAGTGCTACGTGTCTTCCTTATTCTTCCAGATGTGTAATAGTTGAACACCTATGTAGTACAGCACTTACGAAGTACCCATCATCTTTCTTCAGGCTGTATCTGTATTTATCTTTAGCCTCATAACATCTTAGTAGTAAGCAGGCCCTAGTAACAAGTTCAGATCCCAGAACAGAGAGCTGAGGACAGAGGAACTGAGTGACATTCCCAGGAACATGTGGCTTAGATTTCAGGCCAGGCACAGGCACCCATGCTCTGGTCACTGTGTCGTGTTGACTGTCTACATTGTCTCATCTAAAGAAAGCCACTATTCCCATGCAACTCACCTGTGGGGTATTTTATGCACACCACACTGCACGATTCCATGTTCTAATCCCCACTTGGTTCATGTGGGTCCACTAGGCAGCTAGTAATAGAGAGACCCAAAATTCGACCTGGGAATACATTATTAATACTTTTGCCAGGAAGGTGTCAACACCCCTGTCTCTTACAAGTGCATTTCCCAGTGCCTTCATAAAGGAATATGAAAAGAAAAAGACAATAGATTCAAATAAAGGATGTACCTAGGGGTGGATCCTTGGGGAATAAAGTGTACCCCTGGTCCCACAGCTATTTAGCAGCATCAAAATAGGCTGTGGCCCAAGAGAAAGGTTAACAACCCACTTCATTGAAGTCACTGTGGGAATTCATTGAGTTGATTCACCAGAAATAATTGTATATTCAGTGTACCATATTTACAGACAAAATATAAAATATAAGTCATAATTTTTTGTATTAAAATATATAATTTACGTTCCATAAATTCGCCTTTTTGAAAGATACAATACGTGGTTTGTAGTATATTCTGGTTTTGCCATCATCTTGAATACCTAATTCCAGCTCATTTTAATCACCCCAAAAAGAAAGCCCTTGCCCCTATCAGCTAACCCCATTCTCTCTAACCACCCTGCCCTGCCAACCTCTAATCTGCTTTCTGTCTAGGGCTTTTACCATTCTGGACGTTTCATGCACAAAGAATCATAAAATGGGCTGCCTTTTAGTGGGCTAGAGGCAGAAAACCTTGAGCCCAGGCCATCATCAGAGCAGGAACAGCGTTGAACTTTCAGTCCCATCCATGAACTCAGTTAGGAGACCATTTACTCGGTGAGGGGTCCGTGGTTGTCCCATCACCAAGGGGCATGAAAAGGCTGGAAAAGGGACCACTTCGGTGCAGCTTTCAGTTTTACGATCACATTAGCTATAAAAGCGAATGGCAAGTCCTACAGCCAGAAAATGGTTCATTTTATACAACCTTATAAGTCAGTCATTGTATTCACTGTCCCAACCAACTTAGCAAGCCCTAGAATGCTCCTTCAAGACCCTGGTGTTCATGTCAGTAGTGCTGGAACGTGGGGTGGGCTGAGGTACACGGGTGACCTATTGTGATCAAATGGCTCAGACTCAGGGTTGACAGTGGCCAGGCCGGAAACAGAGCATGGGGCTGAGATCTCAACCATGAAGAGTATCCAATTCTAAAGACGGGCATAGGGTACAGTTAGTTTATGGTTATGGCTGGAGCCATCATGGATAGCCTGTGTGAGGGCAGAACTCAGGTGCATTGTGTTGAATGAGAAAGGCACCATGCCTAGCACAGAATGGGCATCCATTGGTTGTCTGATGGCACCTCTGTCAGAATTCTGTTCAGTTAGGAATCGGGGCCAGGTCACACTAGGTCAAGGCAGGGTGAACATGACGTGAGGGCTACAGGCAAGAATAGGCTTTCACAGGACTTAGCTACCGTAGACCCCATCCCTCCAGGACTTCCTCCCTCCCTCACTCATGTGGCTCAGCCCCTTCATGTGCACCTACAGCTTGAGGTCAGAGACACTCATCCCAGGGTATCTGACAGCAGGTGAGGTGGCTTTGGGAGACGCACTTTGAGGCCCTCCTCATCAGTGCTGGGCGCTGTCAGGCCCCTGTCGGTGCTTCCAGCACATCAGCGCTATGACAGGTGCCTTCACCAGAGCTACTGGGTGACCAGGCCATGCCTGGCACAGAACCTGCAAGGGCATGGAGCTCTAGGGCCACATTGGGGCAGATAAGTGTGTTCTTTTGGAGCTTAATCACAGCCGCCCCAACCCCAAATCACAATCTACAAGTTAAAAAAACTTAAAAGTCCTAATTCCTACCACCCAGTAGCTCCTAGCTACTGGCTGTCCCACTGCCCTCGTCCAGCCTTGGCTGTCTGGGGTGGTAGTTGTGCCTTTGGGCTGCAGTTGAGCCTTTGGGCTGCAGTTGAATGACCGGTTGCCTCTTCCAGACTGGCTCCCACCTGTCTCCCGGCAGCAGGCCCTCAGGTCCCAGGTGTGATAAATCACTCTCAGGTGTGATAAATGGGCCTTTCAGAATGGAGGCAAGGGTGTGGTGAACTGAAAATCCTGAGCAAACGGGTCGTCTCCTCCTCCAGGGGAAAACCATTGCCAGGCTTGGGTGCTGGAAGGTAAGCAAGCCCCAAGGGGCAGGTCCCCGTGTGCTGCAGGAACATCTCAGTGACATTCAAGCCCCACGGTTAGGCGTTGTCTGTAGCTTGGCTTAGAGAAATTATGGCAACCTTCCTGTGCTTCCTGGGCTTTTCTGCTGGACCTCACCAGGAATGTGAATGTGAAGTTCCAGGGCGAGCCTTACTGTGGACCAAGCTGTGAAACTGGGAGCTGCCTAGAGAAGACACTCCCCAAGAGGTTGCCAAAAAGAGTGGTGTTTATTTCCAGAGGTGCTGGCCCCGGCAGAGGCCACAGAGGAGGGGGAGACTGGGCTGCTGAGAAGAGCACGGAAGGTTTGGAGTGGGATGGCGTGTCAGAGAGGTTCGCAGCTAGCAGCTACTGAGCCTGACGCCTGAGCAGCAGGAAGTTTTCCCTGGCAGGGGTTCCTGGGATGCAGTTCTTGATCACATGGGAAGAATGTGGAGCCTAGTGAGCATAGAGTGGTGGCCCTGAGAGGGGCATCAGGGAGAAATGAGGAGGGTTCCAGGAGCCCTGCTGTGGGTTAGAGGCAGAAAATCCTTTAGCCCAGGCCATCATCAGAGCAGGAACAGGGCTGAACTTTCTGGTCCCATCCATGAACTCGGTTAGGAGAACACTGACTCGGTCAGGGGTCCGTGGTTGTCCCATCAACAAGGGGCATGAAGAGGCTGGAAAAGGGAACATTTCAGTGTGCCTTTCAGTTTTACAATGCACATTAGCTATAAAAGCTACTGGCAAGCCCTGTATTTGGAAAACGGTTAATTTTATACAACCTTGTAAGTCGGTAATTCTGTTCACTGTCCCAACCAACTTAGCAAACCGTAGAATGCTCCCTCAAGACACTGGTGTTCATGTCACTAGTGCCGGGACGTGGGGTGAGGCTGAGGCACACAGGTGACACTCCTCTCATGCTCCTCCCTCCGCAGCTCACTTGCTCCTACACATTCAAATTCCTGCCAGGTGCCGTGGTTCACGTCTATAATCCCAGCACTTTGGGAGGGTGAGTCCAGAAATCACCTGAAGTCAGGAGTTGGAGACCAGCCTGACCAACAGGTGAAACTGCGTCTCTACTAAAAATACAAAAATTAGCCAGGCATGATGACAGGCATCTGTGGTCCCAGCTACTCTGGAGGCTGAGGCATGAGAATTGCTTGAACCCAGGAAGTGGAAGCTGCAGCAAGTCGAGACTGTGTCACTGCACTCCAGCCTGGGCAATAAAATAAAATGTATTAAAAAAAGAAATAGGCCGGGCGCGGTGGCTCATGCCTGTAATCCCAGCGCTTTGGGAGGCTGAGGCGGTTGGATCACGAGGTCAGGAGATTGAGACCATCCTGGTTAACATTGTGAAACCCCATCTCTACTAAAAATACAAAAATTAGCTGGGCGTGGTGGCGCGTGCCTGTAATCCCAGCTACTCAGGAGGCTAAGACACGAGAATTGCTTGAACTCAGGAGGTGGAGGTTGCAGTGAGCCGATTATGATCAAATACCTCTTCATCACATGCACAGAAAGCAACCTGCATATGTCCCATTCATAAACCTACAGACAAGGTGATACTAGTATACTTTGCAGGTCTTTCCCAGATGCCCTCTATAACGAGCTCATTGTACCCATCTCTTGGAACCCTTCCTCTTTCTAGTAACGGCATGTAAAATTTCTGGGTTGTGACTATTTGTATATATCTGTTTCTTTAACAAGAATTTGAAGGCAGGAACTGCACTCATCTTCACAGCCTCAGTACAGTGCATGATACATGTAGGATGCTCAGTAAGTATTTCCATTCCTTCATGGTAGAGATTTTGTCTATTTTTTTCTTTTATGTGTACCCAGCACCTAACCAAATTCTGAGTATATTTCTCAAAACATGTTTGTTGAATGAATGCCTGAGTGAGTAACTCCACATGAGGTAGGAGGCAGGCAGGACTCATCTCCGGACCAAACAGAAGACTGGCAGAAACCAGGAAGAGCTGCTGAAAGCACCTCCAGTTGCCCTCGCTGCCCATCCCCATAAGACACTCCCACCGGCACTCCCAGACTTTACTGATGTCTGGAGATGCCTGAAGTTACTACCCTTTGCATGGCAATACCCAGAGAGTTATCATTCATTTTCCAGCTGTTTCTGAATAACTCACCTCTTAATTAGCATGTCATTAGAAGCAGATATAAATATGACCTCGAACTGCCCATATGTTGTTACTCAGTGCACTGCCTAGGTGCTAGCTTTGTTCCACAGGAGCAGTTACAGTGATGTGACCCCACTGCCGCTTTAATAAAGCTGCTTTCTTTCATCACCAGCTTGCTCTTGAATTCTTTTTTTAAGTAGGGACAGGGTCTTGCTATGTGGCCTAGGCTGGTCTTGAACTCCTGGGCTCAAGTGATCCTTCTGCCTCGGTCTCTCAAAAGACTGGGATTACAGGTGTGAGCCACCATGCCCAGCCTTGCTCTTGAGTTCTTTCCTGAGCAAAGCCAAGAACCTGACCTACATCAGTGGTGAGTCAGCGAGGACTAAAGAGAAGACGGTAGTCAGTGATTGATGAGGCAATGGTGAGAGATAATGGCTGGTGAGATAGAGATGGCCAGAGACAGTAAGCAATGAGAGAGACAGCAAGAAGCAGCCATCAGTGAGAGTGAGAGATGGTGAGGAAACTGGTGATCAGAACTGCAAGACCAGTAACACTAAGACTGTAACACCAAAGAGCTGTTAACATTGCAGAGAGATGTAACATTTAACCAAAGGCTCTTTTCAAAGCCATCCACCCCTCCCTCCCTCCCTTCCACCAAAGGGTCTTTTTCAAAGTCACCTCCCTCCCTCTCTCCCTTCCACCAAAGGATCTCTCCAAAGCTCCCTCCCTGCCTCCATCTCTTCCTTCTTGAGATGGAGTCTCATTCTGGTGCCCAGTCTGGAGTGCAGTGGCATGATCTTGGCTCACTGCAACCTGAAACCTCCACCGCCCAGATTCTCCTGCCTCAAGTGATTCTCCTGTCTCAGTCTCCCGAGTAGCTGGAATTACAGGCACCCACCACCACTCCTGCCTAATTTTTGTATTTTTAGTAGAGGTGGGGTTCCACCATGTTGGCCAGGCTAGTCTAGAGCTCTTGACCTCAAGTGATCCACTCCCCTCGGCCTCCCAAAGTGTTGGGATTACAGATGTGAGCCACTCTGCTTGGCCGGAGCCATCATTTATCCTGGCAGGCAGTGGAGCCAAGAAGACAGGCAAGTGACCACAGCACCACCGCCTTATGTGGGACCTGCTACTTCACTGGCAGGTTGCTGGTCTCCACACTGGTTCCCTTCCAGAAGCCAAGCCCACCCAAGCTGGGGGACACCTAAGCAGGCCTTCACCCAGTTCCACAAGACTGGCTGGCACCATTTTGGCTCCTGCAGACAAGTGTCTCCATTGCTGAGTAGGTTATCTGGTGAATCAGGCCTTCCAAAGTCTCCCCTAGAGAAATGCTGTTTGCCTTCCCTTCCTCCCTTCCATGGTTGCTTTTGGTTTAGCCCCTCTCTGCCCGAACTAAGATGCTTTCATGGCTCTGTGTTAAATTCACATTCGTCATTCTACTATCCATTCATAGCTCACAATTCACTTTTGTAATGCTTTGCTACCTATATTTATACCTTCTTTGCAAAAAGTGAAAAATTGAAAGGAAAAAGTGGCTAAGCTTTTGCTAGACTTAGACTAACTAAAAAACTCCTGTAGAAATCCTTTCTAGATGTGGGGACAGCAGTGAGCATCCCACAGGACTTGCCACTGGGATATCTTTTAGGTAAGTGGAGTAAATTCAAATCAGATGATTTAAAGAAGAAAAAAACCTCATTTTCAATGACAACACTGTTTGGGTCTAATACAAATTGGGAAACCAACAAATTTGGCCTAGAGATGGCTCTTTATGATATAATGCTATTTTATGATTAAGTTTATTCTGTAAAAAGAAAGGAAAATGGAGAGAATTTCTTTATATGTAGACATTTATGGCCCTCTACCAAGATCCTGATATAGAATGTGTCTGGCTCATGATACCCTGGCACCCAAAAGCTACCCTAGATATCCTAGGTGACCCCTTCCTGGCTGCTCCAGCTAGAAAGCCTGCAGCCACGCCTTGGAGCTTCCTCAGTCTCTCACTTCTAAGGAGATTCCCACCAGTTCTCTAGTACAGAATTCCACTCCAAGGTCATCAAGAACTTCTCCCCCTTATCCAACAAATCCCAGCCTATACCCTCTGCTGCCCAAGGAGGTAAGCCCAACCAGTACCACCAGGAGTGGGTCACCATCTCAGTCCCTCAAATCAAACCTGTGTCCATATCAGGAGGTAGTTGACAGAGAAGACATAAAAATCAGAATATATGTACCTTTTCCGTGTACAATTTGGCTTTATGCAAGAAAATCTGGCCAGTTTTCAGAGGATCCAGGGAAGTTTGTAAAGGAGTTTGTTAAATTGGCCATGTCCTTTGATTTAAGGTGGCATGAAATGCAAATATTGTCTACTTGTTAGGCCTTAGAAAAAAACAAAAGAGGCTGAGGGTGGTGGCTCAGGCCTGTAATCCCAGCACTTTGGGAGGTCAAGGCAGGTGGATCACCTGTGGTCAGGAATTCGAGACCAGACTGGCCAACATGGTGAAAACCAGTCTCCACTAAAAATATAATAATGAGCTGCGTGTGGCGGCAAGCACTTGTACTCCCAGCTATTCAAGAGGCGAGGCAGGAGAATCGCTTGAACACAGGAGGCAGAGGTTGCAGTGAGCCGAGAGTGCACCACTGCACTCCACCCTGGCGATAGAATGAGACTAAGAAAATGTGTGGGAATAAGTTACCGTGGCACTGACTTGGTTTAGAGAAGGGCTCAGGGTGGCTGGGTGCAGTGGCTCACGCCTGTAATCCCAGCACTTTTGGAGGCCAAGGCAGGTGGATTACCTAAGGTCAGGAGTTTGAGACCAGCCTGCCCAACATGGTGAAACCCTATCTCTACTAAAAATACAAACTTTAGCTGGGCATGATGGTGTGCATCTGTAGCTCCAGCTATTTGGGAGCCTGAGGCAGGAGAATCACTTGAACCTGGGAGGCGGAGGTTGTGGTGAGCCAAGATTGTACCACTGCACTCCAGACTGGGCGACAGAGTGAGACTCCATTCTGCCCCAACCCCCCCAAAAAAGAGAGAGAAGGACTCAGAAAATAACATCTGCCCTCCTAACCTATTGTTGGGATTCTGACTATCTGTCCATGGCAGGGCCAGACAAGTCTACTTCCTCATTTGTTTTTTTCACATCACCAAATTCTTCAGAACAATTTATTACATGCCTGAGCTCTCATCGAGAAGCTGAATTCCCATTTTCAGAGCTGAGCAACCCCTTGTGTCTCAGGAAGTGAAACCCTGAGCAAGCTGTTTTCATTAGAGGTTTGAAGAAAACAGGAAAGGCCTCCGTGTGGGAATCAACAAACTCTGCCCTCTCCCTGCAAGCCCTAAGTACTCAGGTTCTACTGCACTGAGCCTTTTTAAGGGCCTTTGGCTGAGTGAGGGTAGCTGAGGACAGCTTGCCCTCCACTGGGTTTTTAGCCCTCTGGCTGAGCACAGCCTGCTGTCATGTTTTTGATGCTTTTGTCTTCCTCAGAACCTTTGTAGCTTCCATGGTTCCCGTGGCTTCAATCCGGCAGGGCCTCTCAGCGTTTTTTTT